TCGCCGCTATCCGTTCGTTGGCTGGGCAGAGCACAACTACCGCCTAGGCAAGCTTCTGATGCGCTCAGTTTTCCAACCTGCGCGTTGAAGTCACCTGCAAGTACTAATATGTCGGAGCTTTGACTCATCCGGATGAGTTTGGTGAGTTCATCGTAGAAAGCGTCCTTTTGGGTATCAGAACTGCAATTGGTCGGTGCATATGCTAATACGATGAACAAACACCCTTTGGTGTTGCTTCCCCTCCAGACGCTGATTGAACCCTAGAGACGCACTGTACGTAAACGACTATTGACGGGGATCCAATCGATAAGAGAGGACTCCGCCCTATTACTCAGTACGATACCTACCCCGCGCTGACCTATTGAACGAGTTTTATCATCGCCTGGTGTGCGAAGAATGTAGCTCGTCGACAAATCTGGCGCGCTGAAGTGGCTTAGAGTGGTAGGATCCTGGATTCGAGTTTCCGACACGCAACAAATATTGATTTCTAAGGATTCCATTGTACGAGCCAGACAAGCTTGTTGACCTAGCTGCACTAAAGTCCTCATCTCGAAGACCCTCCGATTAAGTGATTGACGAAGCCTCAGAATCTGCAATCCATTTTATGGTAAATCACTTACGATGCTATTTGGCAATGATCTTTGGCGAGCGACATCCAAGTTGCTTGAGGGACCGTTACAGGTCGGAAGAAGGGGTAAAGAGAGAGGGTTGGAAACGGAAGAAAAAGAGCTAAACACGTCCCAACCAGCGTAATCCATGAAGGTCGACTACTACTGCAAGGTACGACTGCGATTACCTAAAACCTTTCGCCTAACCTCAGCATCGCTTGTCCGTTAATCTCACTGGACTCGTGCAATGCGACGTAGACCACGGTGTTCGAACACCGACAATCTACTTTTATCCCGTTCCCTTAATGGCCAAGTCTCTGCACCGTATAGCAGCACTGACCGAACTGCTGCAGCATATACTCGACCTTTCGTCTGGCCTCTAACCATTGACCTCTCAGACATGATTGGATCTACGGCTGAGAAGCCATCCTGTACAGCTCGCACGTTCATGGAGGCACGCAAGCCATCACATCACGTCAAGATGCAGTCTTGTCGTGATGGGCATGACTATTTTGGGTTCTCAGAGATACTGATGCAGCTTTATATATACGACAAGTCGCGTGTACACATGAGGAATGACAGAATATTCGACAGACAATCGGCAATGTCAGAACTCCATTGACATATCATCGAGCAAAAAGCAAGTTATCAACACAAGACGGTATCGGCTTCCAATAGTGATCAACTTACACGTGGGATGGACCGCTGACTCGTCAATTTTTTCGGGGGTGAAGCGATTGGCCCTTTGGGCATACTGGTAATAATTTCGCGCACGTCAGATTTGAACCGAAGGATTCGACTTCCTCCGATGTCACCGGAATTTAAGCATTCTGTAGTAGCGCGATGGTAAGCAGCATCTTCTGGGCCAATATTTTCCGCATCATTCTTTATTGCGTGTTGTGCACGGGTAAGATCAGTGGATTTACGATTCGGAATGAATCTGTCCCCTTCGTTCTCCAACAACGACTTCACTCCTGCCCCTGAGGTTTTGCTGTTGTGTCCAGGAGTTTTTCGTTGACTGTGATCTGCCTCTTTACGGCATGGAGTTAGAGGTAATCTGGAAGGCGTTCTGGATGGTGTTTTCTGACTGCTGGGAAGAAACATTTCAAATTATCCACCAAAAACACATACTTCAGTCGCATTTTTGATAGCAGTACAGACGCAGTGACATTTCCACTGCCAGTGGAGCTGTGACTGCACTCTAGTAGCGTCCGACTTAAGCTCCCATCGCCACTGCTAACTTCAGACAAAGAACGAGCGAAGCTTGAATGTGACATCTAAATAAATGAAAAACAGAAATGCATAAATTTAGTCCCGAAACACAATGATCAAGCATTCAAAAGTTATCGAATTTTTCGGAACATGTTGGTTGCAACCAAAACCTATTCATATATTCAGTCCACAAAGAGCCAACAAACTACAATAGCTGTTTAGTGAACCCAAACCAGAAAGGAGAAAAATATTACGGACCGAGCGTAAAGATCAGGCATTAAAGCATTAGAGAAAGGATAGAACAGTTCAGCAGAGGGAGAGAATTGNAAACCACGGCGTTCATCACACTTAGCTTCCATTATTTCGATCTAGCAACAGCACGTCAAGGTGCAGTCTCGTCGTGATGGGGAGTTGGCTAAAAACCTGATTCCAAACCAACCAAGAGGAGAAGTACGAACCACACCCACACGTTACCGGTTGTGGCAATGGTCACCGGCTCGATTGGGCATCGAGGTGTATTGGGCACCTTGGACGTTTCGTTCCGTCCGAAAGGCGTATGATCCGATGAACTGGACACCGGTTACCAATGGGTTGCGGTTTTCACACACCGCCCCGTTGCCTTGTGGGTCAGGCTTTGATTATCCAAAGGCTCTGGTTGTGGATTCCCCAAGAAAATTCACTTACTTTGGTCTGGACAAATTGGCAGTATTCCGCCCACTTGCAAATTGTGGCGTGTTTTTCTTTTAATAAAGATTGTTATACCACGATTTGTTTGGCGCACAGTCTGGCATCAGACGTATGTGAAATATAATAATGAAAGCATACTAAACAGTATAAAATTCATCTGAATTTCCCTTGTTATCTGTGGAGGTCTATTGTCTGTTCGAGATCTTTGGACCAATCGTAGATGTAGCCGCACTTCGGTTTTTTTTGTGCTCAGTAGGTGCGTTTTACCTCGTATTCCCTTTACCCCTTCTAATGAAATAAAGTGCCTCATTACGATGTCTGGTGCACTCCCATGGGAGTACGACGTGCTACTTGCAACTAGCACGTCGTCAGCGAATTGCTATTCGTTAACTACAATGAGCTGCATTTTTAAAATCTAACTCTCGTTGCTTTGTAATTCCCAATACTGAAGGCAATACTTTATGTGTTTTCATAGCGTTCTAATTTTCTTTCCCGAACCAAGAAATGTTGGTCTATTAAAAGGTAGCAGTTACTGTTGTGAGTAAATTGGTTGCAACGATTTAATGTCAACCTAATAGGAAATTAATTTTCTCCTAATCAGAGCGGCGTGGAATACAACCGAATTCGAACGGACCGACATGGTGTCCACTGTGCTTCGATCTGTGTACTTTAGGCCTATATTTTATTTGTTCAAAAAGATTTCAAGATTACGTGCAGAAAACCGGAGGTCTTTGTCCCCCTATACAAAAGCACCGTCCGCCCGCATCTAGAATATTGTGTGCAGGCTTGGGCTCCGTTCTTTCGGGAGGACGTCGATAACTTAGAGAAGGTTCAACGTCTAGCCACAAAAATGATAGCTGGGCAACGGGGGAAGAGCTATAAACAGCGGCTCAGAGATTTAAATCTGTTATCCCTCACACGGAGGCGGATTAGAGGAGACCTAATTGAGACATTTAAGGTCGTCAAGGGTATGCCCGGTTTTAGGTTTGACGACCTGTTCTCCTGGGTCCCGCATAGACACACGTGGGGAAATAACATACGGTTGCAGCGAAGCCACCCCAGTCTGCAACTGAGCTCACCGTTTTTTCCAACAGGGTAATTCCGTTGTGGAACCGGTTGCCGCTGTCAGTGGTAAACTGTAGTACTGTGAATGCTTTTAAAAACGCACTTGATGAGTGTTGGATAGCGGTTCTCCCTGAGGTAAGCGTTTAGTATCACCCATAACCTAATCACAAGGTATGTGATATTGCACCACATATTTCTGCCTTTCAGAAAAATTGCATATCAGAGTGTTGGAAGCTAAGGAAACTCGCCGACAACACACAAATCTGGACTATTCACTGGCAAGAGCCACAATTCATCCTGTGAGAACTGAACTGAACTGGAACTGACCTTGTTTTGGGAGTGCAATTAGGTGCCTAACTTAATTTCAACAAATGTTTGTTTTGTCACCTGGAGGTTCTACCCGGCTCGGAGGATATGTATTATAGTTACAGCATTGTTTTTCTACCGTGTTCCTTAAGTGTTCTTGTGAAATCTTTTTGAACAAATAAAATATAGGCCTA